GCTACAGTGACTTGAGCCAGTTTACCCAGTTCCCACCAACTTGTGCCAGTGTCAGTGTTTTAAATTTTACATAGTCTGGGCCTGTAAGGTACCTTAAGGGTAAACATACTTGCCATGAGGCCTGAAGACCTGAGTTCAATTTCTAGGATCCACATGGTGGAAGGAGAGAATTGACTTCTGTAAGATGTCCAGTGACCTCCATGCCAGAGTGCATACACAAATAAATAAATAAATAAATAAATAAATAAATAAATAAATAAGTTTTAGACATTCTTAGCTGGACCAAAACTGGGAATACCTGGGTTACAGAGTGAGTTCAAGGCCAGCCTTGGCAATTTAGTGAGAACTTATCTCAAAATAAAAAGTAAAGAGGACACTGAAGAGATGACTCAGCAGTTAAGAGCACTGACTGTTCTTTCAGAGGACCCAGGTTTGAATCCCAGCACCCACATGATGGCTAACAACCATTTGTAACTCCAGTTCTAAGGACACCCTCTTCTGATCTCCACATGCACTGCATGACACAGGTGCACTTGCATACTTGTAGTCATAACACTCATATGCATAAAATAAAAATAAAATTAAAACGAAAGAGGGCTTGGGGTGTGGCTCAGTAATTGAGCTCCTGCCTAGAATCCTCAGTGAGGAGCTGGGCTGCAGTTCACTGATAGAGCACCTACCTGGACTCCCCGAGTGAGGGGCTGGGGACATTGCTCAGTGGTAGAGCACCTGCCTTGAATCCCCCAGTGACGGGCTGGGGGTGTGGCTCAGCGGCAGAGTGCTTTCATAGTATACACAAGTCCCTGGGTCCCATCCCCATTGCCCTCCCCAGATGCCTAGCTCCTACATGTCTTCATGAAGGTCAGGCTGCAGTGTTAATGTCACTCTCCTCAGTGCTGGCTGTGATCCCTCTTCCTCCTGCAGACTCTCACAGCTTTGGTTGGATGATGGGAAGCCCTCTGTGTTGGCCATGAGGTCTCTTTAGATACTCAGACTCCTAATTCTGCTTCCTAGTCTTGGAGTAGTTTGTGCACACAGGCATCCTACTGGGAAGACTGAATAGTGGGTACTGTTGGTCCAGCTCTGGGCAGTGATAACTGGCTCCAGATGACTTTATGGTATGAGCTCCTGAAATGGGGATTTTAGGGGTGAGGGTCTTTTCTTGGCCTATTACCCTGTGTGGAGCCTCCACACTGGGCTTGTAACAGATTAGATGAGGTCCTAGGAAGAGCACCATCTACAGCAGCCAGGATGATGGGGAGAGGTCACTCATCAGGGGGATACAGGGACCCTGTCTTAGGCACACCAAAGCTGAGTAGGCCTCAGGAATCACCTAAGTCTCTCCTTAGACAGGGGTGTCTTCCTGCTAAAGAACCTTGTGGCTCCTAATCCGACTCTTGTCTACCCACTGCGTTTCAGGCTGAGCTTCCCTCATGTGTGTGCCCTGGAGTCCTGGCTGAGTCTCCCTGACCTCTTCCTTTATCTTCTAGATCCTGACTGGGCATCCTACACCTTGGGTGTGTTCATCTGTCTGAGCTGCTCTGGGATTCACCGGAATATCCCCCAGGTCAGCAAAGTGAAGTCAGTCCGTCTGGACGCCTGGGATGAAGCCCAAGTGGAGGTAAGGGTCAGGAAAGGGATGCTGGGTGAAATGGGGGGCACAGGCAGCCCCACTGGCACATGTGGTCAGGTGACCCCAGATACCTCATCTCTGTGTCATGGCTACATCAGGGGTCTGGACAGCCTTGCTGTGGCCTGTGAGGGGCTCTTGTTGCTCCAAGGGTACTTGGATTGGCTAGGCTGACCCACTCATTGCTGATCCAGCTGGGGAGTCATGTGCTAAGAAACAAAAAATCACAGCACTTATCCATCTGTCCACTCGGACCCATTTTTTGGGGGGGGCTCTTTTTGAGACAAGGTTTCCCTGTAGCCGCAGCTAGCCTGGATTCGTTAATGGAGACCAGGCTGGCCTCGAACTCACAGAAATCTGCCTGCCTTTGCCTCCCAAGTGCTGGGATTAAAGGTGTGCGCCACCATGCCTGGCTCCACTTGCACCCATTTTATCCATCCATCCACTCATCTATCTATCCATCCACCCACTTATCCATCCATCTATCCACCCACTGGCTAGGCTGACCGGTTCATTGCTGATCCAACTGGGGAGTCATGTGCTAAAAAAAGAATCACATCATTTGTCCATCTGTCCACTCACACCCATTTCATCCATTCATCCACTCATCCATGCATCCATCCACTCATCCATCCATCCATCTAGCTATCCATCTACTTACCCATCCATCCATACACTCATCCATCATCTGTCCATCCACTCATCTACCCATCTACTCATCATCCATCAATCCATACATCCATCCATTCACTCATCCATCTATCCACTCATCTATCCATCCATCCATCCACTCATCCATCTGTTCATCCACGTATCCATCCATCCATTTATCTATCATCCACTCATTCATCTATTCATCCATCCAACTCAACCACTTACCTATATAAATATCCACCCATCCATCTACCCACCCATCTAACTATCCATTCATCCATCTTCTACCCACCTGTTCATCCATCCATGCACCCACCCATCTATATATTCTCCACCTACCCACCCATCTACTCATCTGTCTACCTACCCTTCTATTTAGCCATTCAACCATCCATCCATCCATCCACCCACCCATCAACCTATCTACCTATCCATCCACTCACCCACTTATCAGTCTGCCCCATCTATCCATCTAACCACCTGTCTATCCATCCATTCATTCAACCACTCACCTATCCATCCATCCACCTACCTAGCCATCTTCCATATTCATGTCCCATCCACCTATCACCAATATATCCATCCACCCATCTCTCTACCCACACACCTTATGAATCACACACTCACCTGCCTACTCACCCATCCATCCATCCATCCTTCCCTGTCTCCTTCCCTCTCTCCCTCCCTCCCTCCATCCATCTATATCCATCTCACAAAAGCAGATGGGCCCTGTTCTAGTTTCCTTTCCTGTTGCTGTGATAAACACCGTGACCAAAAGCAACTTAGGGGAAGAAAGGGTTCGTTTCAGCTCACACTTCCAGATGACAGTCTGTCACTGAGGAAAGTCAGGGCAGGACTTCAAGGCAGAAACCCGGAGCAGAAACTATGGAAGAAGGCTGCTTACTGGCTTGCTCACTGGCTTGTACTCAGCCAGCTTTCTTAAACAGCCCAGGCTCACCTGCCTGGGGATGGTGCCACCCACAATGGGCTGGGCCCTCCTGTATCAAGGGAATCTCTCCCAGACACAGGTCAGTCTGATCTGAACAATTTCTCAATTGAGGTTCCCTCTTCCCAGGTGACTCTAGGTTGTGTCAAGTTGACAATAAAAACTAACCATAATAGGCATGTATATAGAGGGCCAAACAAGGCAGCCACATTGCCAGCCTCTGAGAGGGCAGTGTGAACACCAGGCCAGAACACAGGGCAGCTGGTGTGATGCTCCTAGGCAGTGTGGCAGTAATGGCCCACATAGGACAGACCCCACATGGAGTGTGAAGAGACATCACACAGGCTGAAGAAGCACATTCCTACCATGGGGTGATGGGCTCCCTCCAACTCCCATGAGGCACCCTGTGGTGATTGATTCTGAGTTTGGTGGCAGCTGTGATTGACAGCCCCTGGCTGCTGGGGAGGAACTGTGGGGCAAGGGTCCAGGAAGGCCATGGTCCAGGTGAGAGTAAGCATGGCTGGGAGCTGTTATGGGATCATGGTAGAGCCTCAGGACAGCAGCTATCCCCACGCCCCTGCTCTACCCTGCTGCCTATTCCTGGGGGCCTGCTGGAAGCTCAGTCCACACCAACAGCTGAGTTGCCAGATCAGATCTACAGGAACTGAGGTGTCCTGTCCCCAGGGGACCAGGTGTCCCCTGCCCTGTGAATGCCCATGGGACCTCAGCAGGGTGAAGCCCTGGCATTAGTGAGCTCATTGCCTTGATCCTTGAGTGGGTCCTTTGATTTGCAGTAGCCACACTTTCTGCCAAACACCCTGATCTCTCCTTTTCTCTTCCATATGAGGGATGGAGTCCAGAGACTCACATGTGCTAAGCAGTTGCTCTACCACTGAGCCACGCCCCCAGCTCCTCACTGGGGGATTCTAGGCAGTTGTTCTACCACTGAGCCATGTCCCAGCCCCTCACTGGGGGATTCTAGGCAGTCAGAGTAGACAATCTTCCAAGTTACCCTCCCTACCATTCTAGAGGAAGTATCTAGTTGGAAGGTTCATAGGGACATAGACCTCTTGGGCTAAGGAGCAGGCTGGCCTTGATGTAGTGATCCTATGGGGCAGACCTGGCAGGGGCATGGGGGGGGCGCTGTTGTCTCTGGCAATACCCGACTAACTGGGAAAGAGAACATAGGCTCGTAGGGCTGCACCAAGAAGCTGAACCCAGACCACATAGGCCCTCTCGGAGAGACAGCCCTCCTTCCTCTCCCATCCATGCCCACTACCCTCTGGAGGGACACAGATTATGCCTTTCCTTTCTCTTTCCATTTCTGTTTTTAATATTTTATTTTAATTTTATGCATGAGTGTTTTGCTTGCTTGTATATATGTGCACCATGTACATGCAAATGCCTGCAGAAGCTATAAGAGACCGTCAAATCCCCTGGTTGTTAGCTGCCATGTGGGTACTGGGAACTGAACTGGGTCCTCTGCAAGAGCAGCCCAGTGCTGTTAGCCACGGAGCCATCTCGATAGCCTCCTTGACCCCTCCCCCTCTTTTTTTTTGTGGGGGACAGGGTCTCATGTAGCCTCAACTGAGTTCTAACACACTATGCAGCAGGGGATAACCTTGAACTTTTCTTTTGTGAGACAGGTTCTCTCTTAATGCTGCCTTGGCTGGCCTGGAATGCACTATGTAGACCAGGTTAGCCTTGAACTCACAGAGATCCACCAGCCACATAATGCCTCCCACATAATGTGAACTAATTGGTGACCTAAATTCCTAGAAGTGGAAGTGTGAGGTCAAAAGCTAGGCAACTTGGCAGGTTGTAAGAGACTTGCCAGACCCCACGGTAGCTGCCTATATATAGGATCCCAGCCAAAAACGTGAGGAGGCTGCACTGCGTCTCAGCTGACACACGGCCCAGTGCTTCCTTGCTGCCCTGACCATGCAGGCCTCTTGTCAGTGTAGCTGAAGGAAGGGTCTGGTGACGTTAGACCCAAGAGCCTTTGTATCCCAGCCTGCTCCTGGCTCCCTTGATGGCCTTGCTGTCTAGATTGCTTTTACTCTCTTGGGCTTCGTGATGTATCCGGGAAATCTGCCTGCTGAGAAGCGCCTAGAAATAGTTTTTCTGAGTTTGTTTTTTAGTTTCACTCATGGTGGTTTTTGCTGTGGAAAAATTTCTTGATGTTGGCTTAGTCAAACCGATCAACATTTTCTATTGTGGTTTCAGGGTTTACAGTACACTCAGGCCCAAGAGTCTGTGTGTGTGTGTGTGTGTGTGTGTGTGAGTGTGTGTGTGTGTGTGTGTACACACTCATGCATGTGTGTACGCCTGCACGTAGAGGTCAGAGATTGCATGTCACGCCCTCCTCAGGTGCCTTCCATGTTTTGTTTGAGACACTGTCTCTTACCGGCTTTGCCACATAGACTAGACTAGCTTGCAAGCAAGCTCCCAAAGATCCTCCTGTGTCTGCCTCCCATCCCACACCATTGCTGGGAATTACAAGAGTTCATCTCCACACCAGCTTTTTATATGAGTTCTAGAGCTCAAACTCAGGTCCTCATGCGTGTGAAACAAGCACTTTGTCAATGAATCGTCTCAGTCCCCAAGAGTTGTTTTTATTTCATTCATTTTTCATTTCATCTCATTTATTATTTTATGTGATACTGGGGATGAATATCAGGATCCAATACCCCCAACTACTCACCAGCGGATTTTAGGTCTGCCTTCTACTGTTGAGTTATACCCCTCTCTGGCAGCCCCTCACCGGGAGATTCAAAACAAATGCTCTACCATTGAGTCACACCCCAGCCCCTCACTGGGGGATTCTAGGCAGGGGCTCTACCACTGAGGCTACATCTCCAGTCTGTGAGGGTTGTTTTATTTTTTAAAAAATGTTTTCTCGGCCGGGCATGGTGGCACATACCATTAATCCCAGCACTCGGGAGGCAGAGGCAGATGGATCTCTGTGAGTTCAAGGCCAGCCTGGTCTACATAGTGAGTTCCAGGACAGCTGGGGCTACAGGGAGACCCTGTCCTAAAAAGACCAAAAAAAAAGTGTTTTCTCTCACTCTCTCTCTCTCTCTCTCTCTCTCTCTCTCTCATCTATCTCTCTCTCTCTATCTATCTCTCTCTGCATCTATGAGTATTTTGCCTATATATATATAAGTTCATCACTGAGGCCAAAAAAGGGCATCAGATCCCCTAGAACTGGAGTTATAGATGGTTGTTAGCTAACATGTGGATGCTGAGAACCAAACCTTGGTCCTCTGGAAGAGCAGCCAGTGCTCTTAAGTACAGAGCCATCTCTCTCCAGCCTCTTGTTTTTAATTTTTAATTAATTTTTTTGTGGTACTGGGGACAGATCCTGGGCTTAATATCCCTGGCCCTCCCTTGTCCACAGCCTTGCCCTGTGCTACACTTCCATACTCTGGGAGTTTTTAGTAACAGCTCTATAGATGAGATCACATGCACATAATTTGTACTCGTTCTTTTGAGACAGGATCTCACTATGTAGCCCAGGCAGGCTGCAAACCTGCAATCTTCCTGCTTCAGCCTGCCAAGTGCTGGAATCCACCACATCTATACTCACTATGTAGATAGACCAGGCTGACCTTGGTCTCATAGAGATCTGCCTGCCTCTGTCTCCCAAGGGCTGGGATCACAAGCCTGCACCACCACATCTAGCCTGCTTGTTATTTGTTTATTTATTTATTTATTTATTTATTTATTTATTTATTTATGAATGACAGGGTCTCCCTATAGCCCCAGCTGGTCTGCACTCATTATATAGACCAGGCTGTCCTCAATATCAGAGATTTGCCTGCCTCTGCCTCCCAAGTGCAGTGCTAGGATTAAAGGTGTGCAACACCACACCGAACTAATTAATTTTTAAATGAGCTTTATAATTATCACTAGAGGCCAGCAAGATGGCTCAGTGGGTAAAGGTGCTTGCTACCAAGCCTAGTGACCTTAACCTGATCCCCAGGACCCACAGGGTAGGAGAGAACCAGGTCCCATAAGTTATCCTTTGACCTCTACATGTGTGCTATGGCAGATGCACACCCGGACATACACAATTAATTAATTAATTAATTAATTAATAGTGTACTTTAAAAATGGAGGCAAGAGAGATAGCACAGCAGATAAGAGTGTGTACTGTGCTCAGAGGACCTGAGTTCAGTTCCAGCACCCATGTCTGATGACTCACAGTTGCCTGTAATTCCAGCTCCAAGGGATGAGTTGCCCTCTTCTGACCTCCACGGGCACCACACTCATGTGCACATACACATAGATAGATAGATACACATATACATATTTAAAATAATATAGTAAAATAATAAAAATTAAAAATATAATTATCATTAGCTTTAAATTCTTTTGCTATTTTTTTGGTAAGTTGTGAAAAAATTAAACTAATGCCAGGTGTGGTAGTGCACACCTGTAGTCCCAGCACTCAGGAGGCAGAGGCAGGCGGATCTCTGTGAGTTTGAGGCTAACCTAGTCTATGTAGTGAGTTCCAGGACAGCTGTCTCAAAAAGACCAAATAAACGGGGCTGGAGAGATGATTCAGTTGTTAAGAGCACTGACTGCTCTGCAGAGGACCTGGGTTCAATTCCCAGTACCCACATGGCAGTTAACAACTGTTCCAAACTCCAGTTCTGGGGATCTGACACCCTCTTCTGACCTCTGTGAACATTGCACGACATGGGTGCACTTACATGCATGCAGGCAATACGCTCATACACGTAAAATAAAAATAATAAAATACTTTTTAAAAAGACCAAAAAGAAAAATTAGACTAACAGAGATGATGCTTTCTACTCCTCATGGGTCTGTCTAAAAGTTTGGTATATCTTTCAAGAACATAGGACAACCAGGCCATGGTGTACATCTGTAATCCCAGCATTGGGGAAGTGGAGGCAGGAGGTTCAAGGTCATAGCTACATAGTGAGTTTCAGGCCAGCCTGGGCTACACGAGATCTTGTCCCCCAAAGCAAAGCAAAGCAAAACATAAGTAACAGACCAGCTGTAGTGACATAGGCCCACATTTCAACTTCTCAGGAGGCTGAGACAGGAGGATTCAGAGTTCAAAGCCAGCCTGAGCAACTTAGCAGACGTTGTCTCATAAAACAAAACAAAACAAAAGACCAGTGGGTCTTCCTCCATCTCATCTCTCTCTGTCTCCTCCCTCCCTCCTTATTCTTTCCTTCTTTCCTTGAGACAAGGTCTTCCTCTGTAGTCTAGACTGGCCTTTCTGCCTCAGGTTCCAGAGTGCTGGGATTACAAGCCTGTACCCCCACACCAAATTCAGGGCCTTTTTATTTTTTAATTTATATATTTTTTCTTTTACATTATTATTCATTATTATGGGAGAACGGCGTGTGCTACAGCATGGGTGTGGAGAGCAGAGAACAGCTTGGCAGAGTTGGTTTTCTCCTTCCGCCTTTATGTGGGTTCCAGGGCTTGAACTCATATTAACACCTTTACCCACTGAGCCATCTTGCTGGCCCATGAGTTGCATTTATTTGTTTGTTTGTTTATTTAGAGACAGAATCTCACTATGTAGCTTTGGCTGGCCTGAAACTCCACATGTAGACCAGGCTGGCCTTGAACTCACAGATCTGTCTGTCTGCTTCCCAAGTGCCGGGATTAATGACATGCACCACCATGCCCAGCTTCAAGTTGCTTTTTTTCAGTCTTATTTATTTATTGTTATGTGTGTGAGTGTTTTGCTTGCATGTATCTAAGTGCACCTGTGTTGTGCAATGCCTGTGGAGGTCAGAAGAAGGCGTCAGATCCCCTGCAACTGGAGTTACAGACAGATGTTAGCCACCATGTGGGTGCTGGGAACAAAAAAAAATAAAATGTTTATTACTTTTATTTATTTTCTGTGTTTGCATGTGTGTATGTGTGTGGGTATACATATTCCATGGCTTGTGTGTGCAGGTCAAAGGACAACTTCAGGGGCCAGTTCTGTCGTTCTATAATGTGGGTCTCAAGGATAGAACGCAGGTTTTCAGACTTGGCAACAAGTGCTTTTACTGGCTGAGCCATCTTGGGGCCCTTAAATTTAAAATTATTTATTATATGAGAGAGAGAGAGAGAGAGAGAGAGAGAGAGAGAGAGAGAGAGATGTGCAGGTACTTTCAGAGGCTAGAGTTACAGGCAACTGTGAACTGCCTGATATGCATGCTAGGAACCAAACTTGGGTACTCTGGGAGAGCAGAAAGTACTCTTAACCACTAAGCCTATCCT